AGTAGCCTGTGACGTTTCCAGTGATTTTCAGAGACAGATGTGATCTTGGGCAGCACAGGCTGGTGTGCAGAAGTAACCCACTGTTGCCCCCCTACCAACCTGTGAATCATTAGGTTAAGGAGTGATTGAAGTTGAATGCTGTTTCAACTGTCCAAAAAAAACGACCAGACTCCCAGAGCATGGAGTGCTGAAAGCTTCCCCACTTCACTGCACATACAGCAATGAGACATGCAAGAAGTAAATATATTTAATGTGGTGTTTTGGCTTTTTTTCTCCCCCAGGTGGATGATGATAGCATTGAAGATCTTGGAGAAGTCAAGAAGTGATGGTTGGAGACTACCTTTATTTAATTACATGGTTATAAATGGCATAGCCAAAGTGAGGCTTCTAAACCCATGGATTCTGCAGTGATGCTGTGGAGAGCCCACATCCTTGGCAATTTCACTGTTCTGTATAGGCTGCTTGGATTTTTTTGTTGTGATGTTTGCTGAAGTAAAATTGGGGTCTATCATGCCTACACATGAAGATTTAAATAAAATTCCTCTTCTTCACTGAAGATGGCTTCTGTTTTCTGAAGAGCTATTTTCATTCCTAATCTTATAGAGAAATAATAATTTAAGTAATTAAGAGTTTTCTGCTGAATTAAGTATTTAAAGCATACATCAAATGTACAGAAGCATGCACCTCTGACTTGCCAGCATAAAATCTGAGAAATGAGAGCGGGAGGAATGCTCCACAGGTCTGCTTGCAGGAAAATGTATTTTAAAAGATAGTGGTGTTTCTAACGAGCTCACTGGATCTCTGGTAGCTGTTCTGTTATAAAGCTTAGCAGGGCAGTCACTTCCATTCATCGACCTGCGGTTGGGTTCACACGTGTCGGCTCAGCATTCTTCATTTCCGAGCGTCTCTGCCGTCCCGCAGATCCCAAGCTGGCAGCCCGCGGTCTCCCGGCCGAGGCGGGATTCGAACCCTCGGTTTCCCCTCTGGGATGGGCGGCGCGGTGACGTCACTCGAGAGCATTAAAGCGTGCGGCGGTCGGGGCGGTGTGGTGCGGGATCTCCTCACAGATTTCAGAGGATATTTGTTCGTTTTAATCCGTTTTTGCAGCGTTTAACGCGTCGGAGGCCGTCGGCTGCCTGTTTGCTGCGTGCTCCGGTCAGAATCACTCCCCGACGTCCCCCGCAGCTTCCCCGGCACTGCCGCGCTCGGCTTCTCCTCAGGCAGCGCTGGCTGTGGGGTAACGCCGTGCTGCCCGCTGCAGGCAGCGCCCGCCAGCCCCGCACAGACCGCCCGGTGGGGGTGGGCTCTGTAATGCAAAAGCATTCGGACTTAAAGTCGCCTGGAGTTCACTGTCAGCAACGTCAGGCTCCTTGTATTCGCACGTGGTTTTAGCCATAACTGTACAATTGTATCTGCTCAGTTCTGCAACGAGCAAACATTACCTCCATAGCAAGAAAGCGAGGCACCTTGATGAGATAACAGCTGTGTGTGCAGAAAGGCTGCGAAGTCCCGTGAAAGGCAGATGGAGGTGAAGGTAGGGCTGCACGTGTGCCTGAGAGGACTTGTGCTGTCTGAAGGGACGTGGTGAACAAAAACATTACATAAAATGGTTTTCAAGAGGCTTACAAGCCTTCTGACCTGTGTTCGTTTGAGCTCTGTGAGGCATGCTCAGTTTTTCTGTTGCTAATAATTGCTGTGTTATCTTTCATGTTAGCTTTCCAAAAAAATTCTGTCGTCATTCCTTGTTCTGGAATTCTGCAAAATTTGGAAGCACATAATGACAATTTGTGCTGAGCATCATATAGAAATGAAGATTCTGTAGATTTGGTTTGGCATGGTTTGCTTTTAGAGGATCATTGCAGTTCTGCAATAGAAATGCTGTTTATTGCTATGCAGTGTTTTCCTAAATGCATGCAGAAATGGCCCTGTCGATTTGGAAGGCTTTGAGTGTGATTTGACTGCAAGTATATAAGAATGGTTTATTTAGAACAAACAAAGCAGCACTGGTAGGAAAAAACTGACTTCCTTTCTGTCTCCTCCAGGATGCCAGTTCCCACATAAGTAAACTGCAGCGTGTGTTGCCTGAATCTCAACAGGCTGGGAGCTTAGCAATCTCCTCCGCTTGAGCTCTCGCTGCAGTCCAAACAGCAGCAGCATTAACACGGTACTTACTGCTCATCTACAGCTGGATTGAGGTGGCTGGGAGGAGTGGTTGTGAACATGATGCTTGACCTGTGCAATGACACGATGATAAATAATGCTCCCCTCGTGCTTTGCTGTAGAACACGTTTCTACATGACTTAGTGCAAAACACTTGAATATTTCTGTTGGATTCTTTATGGCTGGCCAAGGTCATGACAGGATTTGACTTTTTCATGCATCCAAACAGATGGGAGGAAGAAGTCATTTTAGAGCAAGCTGTAGGAGGTCTGGAAGAAAGTGAACACAAGTGTGACTTTCACTCAGAACTAGTTTATTATCTGTCTGTATTTGTGGAAAGGAGGACAGTGTAGGAAAAGGTGGTACATAGAATAGTTTTCTGTGAACTTAAGCCTAACTCTCTGTGTGAATTACCATAGAATCTGTGTGGGTTAATAGTTCTGGTTTCGCTCATTACAGGATCAGAGAACGTGCCGAAGGGGGAAAAAACCTGTGTATAGCTGTCATGGCAGTGCACACAATCAATGTGAATTCTAATTGGGAGCTTCTGTTCTAAATATGTAAGCAATAGAAGTAATTTGAGAAAGTGGCATTAGTTTGTTTTCATACATATCCATATCAATTTCTGCCTTTTTTTTTTTTTTGTCATGATTTGCAATGATTGTACCACTAGAAATGAGTAAACTAATGTGTATGGTAAAGGTAGGATATGAGCTTTTGGTTTTAAATCAGGGTGCTAATGAAAAGGCTGCGTGCTGAATCCTCAGCTCTGCTTTCCTCTGAAAGGTATTACTTCACCTTATCGCCTTGGATGAACTTGACCAGAACAATGTAAGTACCAGACAAACAAAAGGAACTCTGATAACATTCAGAACCAGAAAACCTTAGTTGTGCTGGTACTGACTGAGAGAGTGTAAGGATTGTGCGCCAGCATTTGCATTCAACTGAAAGGGTATTTTGTTCCGAAGTTCATCAGCAGGATTTCATGCAGTGTGAAACACAGCAGCAGTGCAGTGTTTTTGCAAAGACTGTCTTGTGGGTTGGATTCCTGAAAAGCCCTCTGCAAAACAGAGGTTGCTTGTGGCTGTGGCCCATCCCCATCAGATGTCTGGCTCCTGCTGGCTGATTGGCACATCGCAGCTCAGCTCAACGCGCTGCCCGTCAGAGCACGATGCTGCTTTACAGCCTGACGCTGCAGTTGTGAGCTTGGAAATTAGCTTCTCCTTTGGAACGGTTGCTGTAGAAAATGAAGCACCGCAGTATTTACTGTCAGGGGTGGCTTCTGAACCACATCTGTAGGACTTTGATCTACTTTCAGAGCAGTTCTGGACAGGAACTTGCCAAGCGTGTTCTGGTTAATCTATGCAGGCTAACTAATCTCTGCTTACAGCCAGCTCTACCTGAGGCTGTTTTAAACTCCACTTCAAAACGCAGTCTATCAAAATTAACCCTTGAAATGCGATCAGTTAGAATTTGTGCCTGATGAATTCTGTGCCCTGTTTGGAGGAGGGAGGAGAAAAGCAACTTGAAAAGCGTGTTATTGCTGCCTGCCAGTTCAAATCTGGCAGCTCCATAATTTCGCATTGTCTGAGTTCTTTGATTTCCATGTTGTGTTTTTGCATTACAATACAGACAACCCAACTTGCAGAAACTCAAAACGGACGCAGTTATCTGCTTCAGAACAAGATGCTTAAGCTCCCATTCTTTTCTCAATGATGCTTTGTATGTTTGTTTCTTTGTTTTCACACTTGAATAATTTTTGTTTGCTCCCCTTTTTCTATAAATGCATTTGCAAAATGAATCGAAGTCAGTGGATTTCTGAGACGAGCCTTTCAGAATTCCAGGTGCCCTGCTCTCAATGCATTTCCAGTAAAACTCTTGTGTGTCCCATAGCAGCAAACAGATACAAAGGCAGCCAGTAATTCCTTCAGTCCAACAATTAAACTTTGTGTTCCTCATGCTCCCTGCCCAGAAAAAGCTCTGGCCAGTCACATCTTGGTGCTCCATTCCTGAGCTGCAGCCCTTGTACCTGCACACAGCTCTTTGTAATTAGAGTCCTTCTGCACATTACAGATAACACAGTCAAGGATATGAACATTGTTGTATAAGAGACTGGGAAGTGTTTTTCAGTGCCACGGCCAAGGGTTGTGTCAGCATATATTGTTCTGGGGCTCAGAGCTCCAAAAGTAGAATGTATTGAATAGAGCTGTTTCAAAAAGCAGCCTTGCCCGTAGCAGATTGTTTTTTATTTTGTATAAATCCCGGAAATTTCTCACTGTCTGATTATTTGTTCAACTGATGTGAATGGGATGCTTGCAACAGGCACCACGTTGTCTAGTTTTGTGGACAAAAGGTAACTGGATATGGTGAAAGTCCAGAAAGCCACATGAAATTGAATTAGAACTAGCGACAGCGAGGGAGAAATTAACAAAAAAGGAAATCTTCCAGTGCTACCAATGCAACCCAAGAGCATGTCTGCAAAGGGAGGTGGGTACACAGCGTGCTGCAGTGCCAAGCTGTGTGGCACTGTCTCCTTCCTCGTGGGCACACCAGGATGCTTTTGTGCCCCTCGGTCCAGTGGGAGCTGCTGCTGTGTTCACACTGCACGCCCTGCGCTGGCCGTCCCCAGTGGAGCTCTCCCCTTTGTGCCCCTGGGAGCAGTGTTAGCTTGCAGCCCTGCTCTGCTGCTGCTGCTGCAGGACGCAGTGCATTAAGTCTGGAGACGCTCGGTCTTCTTTCAGAAGAAGCTGGGTTTGCTTAGGACACGTTAATGGGGCTCTCAGAGGAAGTGGATGCTGAGCAGCCAGAATGCCCTCACTTTGCTTTAATACTCCTGTGTGGAGATCTCTCCTTTCCCTACAGAGATGGGCTTTAGGCCAAAAGAAGGTTTTGTAGATCGAAACCAGCGCTATGACTTGCATCCTGAAACCACTGATGTTTAAATGTTTCAGGAGCAATCCCCAAAATTGCTGAGCGCCGTGCTGATGCAGCACAGCGGTAAGCACATGCTTAGCCTACAGAAATAATCTCATTTGCTTCAAGTGAGAAAGAACTGATGGCACAGCCATACCCACAGCTCTCTGTAAATCCACAGCAAGATTTAGTGACCTGCAAGTCACTGGCTACTGAATAAGTCTCAGTATCTTCTCTTAATAAAGGGCACTGAATCAGCTGTGGTCAGTTCAATCATAGAAGGAGCAGGAAGAACGGATGTGTTTCATACAGAAAAGTGTTTTTTTATTGTTTTGAGGTCACTTGGTGGCAGGTGCTGTGACAAACACCAGGTGAATTGCCTGCTGGCAGCGATGCGGCCATTTCTAGCAGTTGATCATTTTTCCTTTAGAAAGATTGAGTCAGGGAGAGCTGATGAGCCACACAAAGGAGGACAGCAACAGGAAAACGGGCAGCAAAGCGTGTGCCACTGCTCGTGAGCTGTGAGTCAGGAGGTGGCCAAGGGCACAAAGATCACTCACTTGCAAAGCAAACCGGAAAGATTTTGATTCTGTAACACACGAGTGGTGTCCCTGAGGTCATCGTCCGACTGTGCTGTGCTTTGCTCACCTTCTTCTCTTTCTGTTTTCTGGTGAGTCTGCAGGGTGAAAATGTATAGGAAAAGGACATAGATGTGATTGCTTAATGTATCTTAGGGGAAACGTTCCTGTCTTTCCATGCAGATCTTTAACTTTCTGGAGGAAATGAAGACATTTCCACTACGGAATTAGTTTTGAACTTTCTTGAACAAGAAGGTCAAACAAGTAAAAACAGTGCTTTTGCTGCACTTTTCTTCACGTTTCCCATGCTGCCCAGCACACTGCTTTCCATGGATGGTTTCCTTTGGCTGTTCCCCCCAGAACCACAAGCTCAGGGCACCTCTGCCCCTGTGTTTTTGCTGGGGGTGCAGCTGAGCTCTCAGCCTATCTGCTGCCTTGAATTAATTGCAGTGAAATACAACACTTGCATCATGGTTTTTTCTTGTTAACTCTTTCACGTGTTTTTCCACTTCCTCTTTAATTGCCTCATTGCCAGCCTGCTTTTCATCCTCTGTGACTGGCCTCAAAATGAGTGGAACCGTTTTGATCACGGCTGCTGACAGCCTCTGAGCGTCACACTCTGCTTCTCTGTTCCTTTTTCAGGACACAAAGGCTATTTCCCACACGTTAATAACCTGCAGAGAACATTTCCAGGCTCCGTCCCCACAGTTTGATGCTGTGGGCATGGCAGAAGGTCTCCCAGGAGCAGTCCTTGGTGGTGGCACAGAGCTCACCTGCAGCCACCCCACTGCCATCACCAAGCTAAACCAGGACAGCAGAGCCTGGAGACATTCATGCGGGCTGTGCTTTCTGCTTTAAGTTGCTCGGTGGCACCCGTGACCCCCTGTGAATTCACAGTGGCGTTTGGACGGGGGTGGAAGACTGAGCTCAGGTGCTGCCCTGGGTTCACATTGCTGCATTTGGGGCCGCGTTTGTGCCCGCAGAAGGCAGAACTCCTCCTGGCTCTGCTCAGAGCTGCTTCTGGCACGTGGGGGGCTTTGCAGCTGGGAGGAGCGGATCGTCGGGGTTAATTTATTCTGTCATTAAGTGACTTACAACCCACGTGTGCGCGGAAACTCCAGCTGCGTCGAGCTGCGCCGCCTGATTTCTGGAAGCATTACAAACCCTCCAGGGAATCACTTTGCTATTGTGCCCTCCTCTTGGGTTATTGTTAAAGAAAACAAAGCTGCCGTTCAGCTCACTGCGGGGTGGGCGCGCTGCTGCCAGCGAAGGCCGACAGGAGCGGGCAGCCCACAGGAGCCGCGGGTCCCTCCGCTGCCGCGGGCGGATGCAGCCGTCCCGAACCTGCAGGGACGGGCGCTGACACCGGGGGGCGCTGCGGCGCGCGGCCGGGAGGAGCTGCGGGCGGCGCCGGAGCGCTCGGTGCCCGGTGTGCGCGGTGCGTGCTGCGCCGTGTGCGCTGCGCAGCCATGAACAGCATCAAGAGCGTTCCCGCACGGGTGCTGAGCCGGCGGGCCGGACACAGCCTGGAGGCGGAGAGGGAGCAGTTCGATAAGAACCAGGTGAGGGGGGCGGCAGGGGTGTCCCAGGGTCCCGGCGGCGGCGTTCGTCCCCTGGGAGCGGCCCGAGCCGTGGGGCAGCGCCTCCGGGAGCTCCGCGTGGGGCCTTCCCCGGGGACGGAGCGCCAGGAGGCCGTTTCCCCGCTGGCCCCACCGGTGGGAATGCTTAGGGAGAGTCGTACGGCGGTGTCAACGGGAGCGCGGCCAAAACCCCGCTGTGTGCCGCATGTCCGCCCCGGGCTGGGAGCCGTCCCGCAGCCGTCGGGGATGCCCGACGCAAAGGCGCCGTTCTCTCGAGGGACGGCCGTGCTGCCCCTCTCGCGTCCTCCGCCGCTCAGCTGCGCATTGCCGGTACTCGGCCCGGTTGTCCTGTGGCACCGCCGATCCCTCCCCGTCCCGTCGGCTGCTGCGGTCCCGCAGAGCTCCGTCCGAGGGCCGGTGACCGTTCGGGGCAGTGCGGTCGCGGTGTCGGGTGGGAAGTGGCAACGTTGGGTTTGGGGAGCAGCACGAATAAACCTGCAATTCCGGTTCCTTCGGGACGCGTCTCCTCCAGCCGTCCCGCCGGGCAGCGCCGAGAAGTTACCGCGGTGCGGAGAGCGCTGCCCCGGGCGGGAGCGTCCCGTGTCCCCTCCGTTCTTCCTTCCCTCCCTTCTGGCTTTGCCCCACTGTGCCCGAAGAGCGAGAGTTGCGTTATAGAGACACGGGGTCCTGAAAGAGGTTCGTCCTCTGCAGAACCTTCCCGGCGTTGCTGTGTGGTATCGTTCCGCCCTCCGGTGCTCGCAGGTAGCGTGAGGTTTGACCTGAGCCATCTTATGTCTGCGATGGGATTTGCTCAGGATGCTTTTTGGGGTCACACTGCATCGGTGTCAGCATTTGCCTTGGAGGTGAGACCCTGCTGTCCTCTCCGGGTGCTCGCTCTGCAGTGCCATTGGAGGCAAAACTTTTGGTTTTGGTGCCCAACTTTTGCTTTTCTTGACTACATCTGCCAGAAGGGTTAGGGTTGTGTCTGCTGGAAGGTTAAGACCCAACACGCTGGGCATCCCCCAGGAATACGGCACGTGTGAATGCTGAGCGGTCCTGTTCTGGTCCACGTGTGGAGTCCTCAGAACAGGAGAGACCCGGACTTGCTGGAGAGCGTCTGGAGCAAGGCCCCAAAAATGATGTCAGGGATGGAGCACCTCCTGGGGATGCTGGGGCCGGGGGGAACCGTGGGTGGAGAAGATCATGCTGTAATTAAAGCGGCTTGGAAAGAAGGGGTGGATGTAACCTGCACTCCTTCCTTTGGATGCTTTGATCCCTGTTTAGTCACCGGCTCGGTACGCTGGGGCTGTGAGTAAGGTGCTGAGGGCTGCACCCATGGTGGTTTTGTAACCCGCAGGTTTCAGGGTCTGACCCGCAGCCATCAGCACTGGGGTGGTGCTGGGGAAACTGCAGCTGCATGAAGGTTTCAGCTTGGCTCTTGGCGCTCGCCACCAGGGTGTTCCCATCTCTGACCCGTTTTTATGGGGGATCCTCTTGACTCAGGGCTTGGAGCCAGCCCCAGGATCCTGGCATCGCTTTGGTATCAGTGGGACTCACGTTGGATGTGATGTCTCCCATCATGGATGTAAAGTGGCTCAGATCAAACCTCACCACTTAAACACCCCTTAGGAAGGCACGCTCTGGAGCTCCCAGGCTGCATTTTGGCTGGGCAGGTTCATGGGCAATAAGCTCAGTGAAATCCCAATGGGCATCACAGGTTTTGGGGCAGGTTCCAGCCCATGATGCCGAGCAGTGAGGATGTGGAATGGGGTTTGCTTTGTCCCTGCCCCATGGGGCTCCTCCTGGTGCTTTGGGATGAGCTCTCTGTCACTCCCGTGCCCAGCAGATGGCTCAGCCCTACTGCCCTCCTGCCGGTGCCTTTTTCCAGGCACTTGAGTCTCATTAACCTTCGAGTTAAGAGGATTAAGCCAAGTCGCCGGCTTAACTCTGCTGCTGCTATACTGACCCACATGGCAGGTTAACGCCAGGGCTTCCCCGAGTGCAGAAGCAAAATCGCTGCCTGCAGCCACACAGCCTCCTTGAGGATGCACAGCCATGGGGGGCACCAGCACCTCTATTGTCACTCCTTGTGCTGAGAAGCGGGGACATGAACTGAGCCTGTACCCGATCCTGGGGCTGCTCACCCCAAAACAGTGCTGGGGATGGGGATCCTCGTGTGGGACCAGCTCTATATGGCAAGTTCCTGCTCCTGGCTGACAGTCAGTGGCACAGTGCTGCACTGGCTTCCTCCCTCCCTGGTGACACAAAGCCGGTGCCATGCATGCTGCTTGGAGCTTGGGCTCAATGAGGTTTTACAGCCTGTGTGCAGGGAGGGACCATGTTTTTCTTCCGGCACGAGCGCCGGCAGCCTGGCTGTTTCCTGCCATTCTGGCCTGCTGGTTTTTGCTGTGCAAACGGCCTCACGGCTGTGGGCACTGCCCCAGTTCTTGTGCAAAGGTGAAGTAGCGAAGGGAAGTCCTCGTGGTCTCAGCAGCTCAAATTTAGAGCTGGAGAAAGCGACTGGGGCCTATTTTTGGAATAAAACCTTCATTTGATTAGGGCGTGATTCAATGCGCTGGTATGCAGGTAATCCTCTTGATATAGCTACTCCTCTGTGAACTGCACTGCTCTGGTTTGTGGCATCATGGCTGCTGCTCCCTCCATGCTTGGGGGCCGTTTTCCCTTTCCCTGCTTGCTGTTCTCACGCAGGGCCGCCTTCAAAGCTGTGGAAAAACACCCAGTTCAAAGGCTCCTTGTGATTGCACAAACAACCCAGGAATGTGGCATCGCGCTGTGTGTTGCTGCTGGCAGGGTGCGTTGCTGAGCTCAGGCTGCAAAGTGCCACTTGTTCTGTGGGACAGTGGAAGACATCTGTGGCTTTGAGGGCAGCCTGGCCCCGGCTGCTTTGTTCTGCATCAAAAAGCCTAATACTGCAGTCTAATACTACATTTGACAAATGGAAAATTCAGAATATTTTCCAAAAGCCCCCGAACGCTTGGGTTGCTCCCAGCTGGCAGAGCTGGGATGAGGGGGAGGTGGGTCCCAAGGGTTGTAGCACTGCTGACACCGCTCTCCTCCTCCCGCAGGCCATCAGCATCAGCAAAGCCATCAACACACAGGAGGCGCCGGTGAAGGAGAAGCATGCACGCCGTATCCTTTCCCTCTGCCATCTGGGTGGTGCAGGAGCTCCATCCTCACCTACAGGGGAGATCTTGGGGTTGCAGGGCTGGGGAAAGATGGGTTTTTCCATGGGGTTGGCCTTGACTGATGGAAAGGGATCATTCTGGGGACGCACCACGAGAAGGGCGCCTTCACCTTTTGGTCCTACGCCATCGGGCTGCCCCTGCCCAGCAGCTCCATCCTCAGCTGGAAGTTCTGCCATGTCCTGCACAAAGTCCTGCGTGACGGCCACCCCAATGTGAGTGTCCCCTCCCAGAGGCTCTGCCCCTTCTGTGAGCTTGTAGATGACACCAAGTTGGTAGGAAGTATCAATGTGCCTGAGGGTAGGAAGGCCCTACAGAGGGATCTGCATAGACTGAATCAATGGGCTGAGGCCAATGGGATGAGCTTCAACAAAACCAGGGAGGTGGTGGGGTCACCGTCCCTGGAGGTGTTTAAGAACCATGGAGATGTGGGACGTGGGCACTGGGCATGGCGGGATGGCGCCGTGGTTGGACTTTCTGATCCTAGAAATCTTTTCCAATCTTCGTGATGTTGTGATTCATAAATCAGCCTGTTATCTCACTACTTCAGAACCTCCCTCTGCACAGCCCCCCCCTGGGGCTGACCAGTCCCCTCGAGCTTTGCTGTAGCGGTGCAGGGGGCTGAGTCCCTGTTGCCCTTTTGTGCCCCCAGGTCCTGCAGGACTGCCAGCGGTACCGCAGCAACATCCGTGAGGTGGGAGACCTGTGGGTAAGCAGATGGGAGGAGCAGAGGTTGGTGCCGTGCTGGAGGTGGGGCTTCCTGGGTGAAGGGCTTTGAGTTGGGTGTTGAGCCCTAAGCATCATATGCACGGGGGAAGCTTGCAACCACCTGAAATAACCCACAAGAAGGGGCAGTGGGAGAGGGGAGAGCTGCAGGGCTGGTGTAGGTTGACCAACACCCACGGGATGGATGCATCCACTGCTTGCCACCGCACCGGGCATTTTTGGCATCACTGGGTTCAATTTATTTCCCCTGTGTCTCCTGCAGGGCCACTTGCACGACCGCTACGGGCAGCTGGTGAGCATCTACACACGGCTGCTCCTCACCAAGATCTCCTTCCATGCCAAGGTGAGACCCCGTGCTGCATCTGCACCGCTGAGAGCTGTTGCAGGAGCAATTAGCAGCAGCCGCTGTTCTGTTTTCCTTTGGCACAGCACCCCGAGTTCCCCGCAGGCCTTGAGGTCTCAGATGAGGTCCTAGAAAAGACAGCAGGCACAGACGTGAATAACATGTGAGTGTCCTCATGGGATGGGGTAAAAGATCTTGACGTGGGGAAAAGCATCCAGAAGCAGCGGAGTCCCACAGGGGCACCTGCAAGCAGTGATCTGTAGCACTGATGTGTGTGCAGCTCAGTGATGGTGTTGGTTTTTGGCAGCTTCCAGCTGACAGTGGAGCTCTTCGACTACCTGGACTGTGAGCTGAAGCTGTCAGAATCAGGTGAGGAGTGGCAGCAGCTCCTTCCCAGCTGCCCCAGGGCTCTTGAGCAATAGTTTCATTCTTTGGTCAGGAAGAGAGTTTGTCTGCA